TTAGAGATTTGTGACAACTTGGATAAACTCACAGAAGGGTTCCGATTATTCTAGATGGCTTCTGACTTCTTTTATAACATGGATGCTTCTGTGACATGGGTGGGAATGATAACACTGGCTGCTCAGCTAGGCAAAAGATCCGGATGTGCCGTCAGAGCACCAAGCAAGCCTAGACTTCAGCAGAGGCATCAAGCTCAGGCATTGACTAATGAACCCACATCTGCTCAGCACCACCAGGGCAAGGAATTATACCCCAGATGATGTACAGCTGGTGAGAGTGCTGCATTTATTAAAAAAAAAAAAAATACTTCTTGGGGACAAGACACAATTATAGGAGGGACTTTACCTCGCAAATACAATCAGTGTAACCTGGTATCTTGTACCCTCAATGAATCCCTGACAATTAATAAATAAATAAATAATTTATTTGGAAGGGAAGAGTTTCTCTTCCAGAGAAACTGGAAGAAACAGCGGCTAATTCCTATAATCCTAGCACTTTAGGAGGCCAAGGCTCAAGGATCGCTTGAGGCCAGGAGGTCAAGACCTACCTGAGCAACATAGTGAGATCCTGTCTTTACAAAAAAATTAAAAAGTTAGCCAGGCATGGTGGTGCATACTGAGGCAGGAGAATTGCTTGGGGCCAGAAGTTTAAGGTTGTGGTAAGGTGTGATGACACCACCGCATTGTAGCTCCAGACAAAAGAGTGAGACCCTATCTCTTAAAAATAAAAATGCAAAGAAGGAAGAGTTTCTATCAGGAAAGAAAAATAAGAAAAATCCAGAAAACAAACAACCAAAGCAAAATACAGGGCAATGGTCTTTCCTTCCAAAGACTGAATTCGTAAGGCATGCTATGAATATTCAGTTATTACTCTAATGGTAACCCCTGGGGAGTCTTTGCTAAGGCCTGTTTCCAAAATGCCTCTTCACCCACTGGACGGTCAGATTCGCAACTTTTCAGATACAAACATGCCACTCTTGGTGCTTTCTCTGACAATCAGTTTCCTAGTTGGACAAAGAGTAAACCTGCCTTGTTATTGTTGTTATTTTATGCATTTTTGCAAAGCCAGCATCCATTTCCTTGTTTTAGTGAAATAAGATATATATTCTGACTATCACAGGATCAGCTTAGTCAATACTTATTACATAAGAGCCGATCTGTAGTTCAAAGAACACTGAGTCTGTTGTCAGACTGGCTGGGCATGACCCTTTACCTCCTTAAGCCTGGCTATGTTACCCAGTAAAATGAGGGTGTTGATCTAAAACACAGGTTGCTAAACCCCCCCAAATTACTTTGGATTCCACCAGGGAAGTGTGTTAAAAAATACAAGCTCTCCAAATCGCTGGCCCAGGCAGGAATCAGATCCTCCTAGTGCTAACACCCCATGACTTTCTGAAATAAAGCTGAGCTGATGAAAACAGAACCACTTCCCTATAAATGATTAATTTCTGAATTTCAATTCCCTTACGGGGTTGGCAAAAAAGCAAGGGTAGCTCAACACTTGATTGAAAAGGTTGCTTAGCAGTGCAAAACACCACACATATGCTGGATGTTATGGGGGTGAAAGGCACAGAAAACAGCCAGGACAGAGTATTAAGAGGTGGTATGTATCTTCACTCATCAAACTGCTGAAGTGTGTTGAATGGGAAAACCCCATAATTTTAGCTGGGCTTTAAGAAGCTTAATCCTGCAAAACCACGAGCATTGGATGAGAACAGGGAGGCTGGCAGAAAGGAGAGCAGTTGGTAAGTCTTATAAGCAAACATGGAAGAGGAGCCATGTGGCCCAGTCCTGTGTTCATAAGAAACCTCCAGTGATCTCCAAGTGAGGCCATGCAGACAGTCAGAGGGGCCTACCGCCACAGGACTGAAGATGCACACCAGCCGGCTGTAATAAATTCAGGGTCCACGAGGAGCACAGTATCAATAAGGGAACAATGTTTTAATGTACCTTGTGATTACTTTCAGATAGTACAGGTGCATGGCACTACTTTGAGTGTATTAAAAGCATTAACTTCTGAAATTATCAGTACCCAGACTGAATACCCATCTTCGAGCTTTGAAATGTTTTTCTTATTTTAATACGTGTATATGGAGAGCCTTGGAAGTGGCTCAAGACTCTTTCAGCTTCTGAGTTTATTTCAGGTGTCCAGCTGAAATGGTAGAAGAGCATAAGGAGGGGTGATGCTCAGGAAAAGTGAAGAAAAAGATGAACTGAAGTGATTTGATGCGGGCAGCCTAGAGAGGATGTGTCAGCTACTAGATGGGAGCCAAGAATGATTCTGCAGTTCACAGCCTAGGTCAGTGGGAGGACGGTGCTATTCATAGAGGAGGAAGTCAGAAGAGGAAGCAGTGCACATGAGAAAAGAGTTCTACTGGGAATGTGAGAGACCTCCTCTCATCTTTTCAACAATGACGTGGCTCTTGAATAGAGTGAGGAACAGTACAGCACCTCTGCCCCAGGCTCTGCCTTGGACCATGGACATGTGAGCCATCAGAAAGGCACCTACCTAAGCAGTTCTCAGGAAAATCACAGTTCCTTTAGAGAACAGAGGCCTTCATCACAGATTTCCTTGAGAATTCCCCTCTAGGTTAGCTCATCACAGATTCTATCCACATTCCTGATCCCCTCCAGGGAGGCTCTTCAGAACAAAGAAAGAACCTGGGGACCTAATGTTATGACCAGATTTAGCTTAGAGTACTTGCAGTCTGCGTTCCCCATTCTGTAGGTCAAGAGTTTCTATTCCCCCACCTCCCAACACCCCTGCCAAAAAATAAATAAAAGTAAAACAAAGAATATGACCCAAAGACCCTGAGAGTGATGAGGACTATCTGGGAACTAAGATCATCCCAGTCAGTGGACTGCTTTTACTGATGAAGAATCTCAGACACACAAAGGCAAAAGCACACAAGCAGATGGGGCTGGGTCAGCTCCAGCATTGAGGTCCCCTAACTTGTCTTCTTACCACATGGGACCACACTTTCCTCATACTCCAGGGCACTGCACTATCACCTGCAATGATGTGATACACACATGAAGGGCATGTGGCCCGCCATCCCTTAATAGCTACGCAGGGAGAGAAGTCTAGAGGTGGACACAGGAAAAGGAGAAGAGGTACATTCTCTCAGCACGTTTTTACTGAGATTCTCAGCATTTTTGAACAATGATTCACATTACTAATTATATTAATCAACTCATCACTTTCAAGAAAAACATGAATACAAATTTTTCTTTCTACAGGGTGAGAAATCAGTATAAAGGGGTTATTCTTTTATAAAAAAAGGGACGGAAATCATAGGCTCACTCTAGCATAAGATAAATGTTTTGTATGTTTTGAGTGGAGGAAAAATTAGCTCTCACTATAACCCACCATACGTTTTTATAACATATTTATAAAAAGGAAGATTAATAGCACATTATCTTCAAAGCATTAAAATTTCAAGAGTTAGAAATTAGATGTCAGAAATAACATTGGCTATCATGGTCATTTAAGCATTATAAAAAGCCTTATTGCAGCTGGAATTTATGGGGGACAAAATAGGTTAAGTTAGATTAGATTAAGAAAAAACATAAAGCAGATAATGATACAAAGTTCATATTCATGCAGAAAGTTTTAAAATTTGCTTTGAATGATAATTTGGGAAGGCATTGAGGCAAAGGTGGCTCTTTTGCCCACATAAAATGTTGAGAAGAGATAGTTTTCAATTACCTTAATCAAAACCTTAATTTCCCAAGAAAAATTTCTAGAAAAAAAAATTTCTAAAAACAGAAAATGTTAAAGAATAACCTTACATCTGGAGAGATGACTGAGTAAGAATCAGATCCTTATTCTGAAGTCTGTTCAACAATTTCAAGCATGTTCTATATACCAAGTGTGTCTGTATAGAAATTCCTTAATCTGCATTGGAAACTTCAATTTTGTTTGAGTTATAAAATGAAAGATAGTAAAAATATCTATGCATACATGTATATATACTTTTTTAGGCTAAAGCTATAAGAACCTTCATACACTCCTAGTGAAAGCAATTAATAGTACAAACGCACAAAGAAAGGAGCTTAAAAATATCTATCAGACATACATCCTCTGATCTCAAAATGTTATTTCTAGAAATATATTTCATAACCAAACTTGCACACATACAAGATTATTTACAGCAGCAAAAATTTTTATAAGGCTGAAAACAGCACAAATTCTCATTAGCAGAATACTTGTTAAATAAATCATGATACAGCAGTATAGTAGAATATCATGTATCTATAGATTAAATGTTCTATGAATTGTGTAAAAAGATCTCTAAGACATTAAGTAGAAAATTAAGAGAGCAAAATGCTCCCTTTGTAGTAAAAGAAAGGCAAGGAAAAAATAAAAATCTATGTTTGTATTTGTTTCTAAGGAGATTTGGGGGGATAAAAAATGAAGAGATTTTTTTGGGCAGTGCCTGTGTTTCAAGGGAGTAGGATGCCGGCTCCATATGCTGGAGGTGGTGGGTTCAAACCCAGACCTTGCCAAAAAAAAATGAAGAGATTTTAGAAAAATATATTTAAAAAATTGGAAGTGGGGGATGAGATAGGAGAGAGGTATCTCATTGTGTATTTTTTATTCTCTTTGATTTTGGGACCATGTGAATACGTTAGCTATTTGAAAAACTAAATAATTTCCAAATAATAAAAGCCATTTACTCAGTATTTAAAACATTCCATTAAATAAGATGCTGTCTTAAAAAATAAGTGGAGATTTTGGCATATCATCCAATGAATCTAATCTTTGAAACTTCAAGCAACATATAAAATTATGACTCTTATCCTTTCTTCTTTAAAAGAAAGTGTTTTTCTATACCTTGCAGAAATGTAACACATTTAGTACTTTGATCTAAAAGTGATCCCATTTTTATGTTTTTAAGATAAATCTGAACTTGTTTACTGACGTAAAAACCGGTCAAAATCCAGCAATGTTGTCATGTTTAAGAACTTTTCTATCTCACCACCAAAAACACCTGTACCTTTGTCAGAATTGTTCTTCCTCCCATGAGGTATTCGGTGAAGGCACAGAATATATCCATCTTCTGTCTCAACTCGGTGCTCCTCACTAGGGAACCCCCAGTGAGAGATAATTTCACTCTGTGGAGAAAAAGGGCAATGTAAATTCTATGGACAGAGTCTGATACCATATCCCACAATAACAGGCAAAAGAGAAGGTAAAATGTCAATGTCATTCTCTATTTTTAATTATTTAAGAAATCAATTGTTATTGAATTTTTTTTTTCAGACAGAGTCTCACTTTGTTGCCCTAGGTAGAGTGCTGTGGCGTCACAGCTCACAGCAACCTCCAACTCTTGAGCTTACACAATTCTCTTGCCTCAGTTTCCCAAATAGCTGGGACTACAGGTGCCTGCCACAACTCCCAGCTATTTTTTGTTGTTGTTGTTGTTGTTACAGTTGTCATTTTTGTTCAGCTGGCCCAGGCCAGGTTCAAACTCACCAGCCTCGGTGTATCTGGCTGGTGGTATAACCACTGAGCTATAGGCACCAAGCCAGTTACTAAAATTTTAGTCTGCTCAGTCTAGTAGCCAACATTCCATCGCAAGAGTAAATCATCTGGTTATTTTACCCATGTGTCCTACCCACAGGTGTTTGGTTAACATTGGTTTCATTATTCTAGCATGTTCTACTCCAAGGGTGTCTAATTTTACCACAGCTTTGGGCCTCTTTGTTTCCATCATGACTATAGGGCACAAATAGACACTCATTCTTTCTTTTCTAAACATGTCAGCTAATATTACAAAAATGTAAAACACTTTTGGGCACCGCCTGTGGCTCAAAGGAGTAGGGTGGTGGCCCCATATACTGGAGGTGGTGGGTTCAAACCTAGCCCGGCCAAAAACTGAAAAAAAAAAAAAAAAAAAAAAA